TTCCTGTGTTTGTCTCTCGTTTTGTTTAGGTGTCTCTATAGTTCCTGTTTTTGTCTCTCGTTTTGTTTAGGTGTCTCTGAAGTTCCTGTTTCTGTCTCTCGTTTTGTTTAAGTGTCTCTGAAGTTCCTGTGTTTGTCTCTCGTTTTGTTTAGGTGTCTCTGTAGTTCCTGTTTTTGTCTCTCGTTTTGTTTAGGTGTCTCTGAAGTTCCTGTTTTTGTCTCTCGTTTTGTTTAGGTGTCTCTGAAGTTCCTGTTTTTGTCTCTCGTTTTGTTTAGGTGTCTCTGAAGTTCCTGTTTTTGTCTCTCGTTTTGTTTAGGTGTCTCTGAAGTTCCTGTTTTTGTCTCTCGTTTTGTTTAGGTGTCTCTGAAGTTCCTGTTTTTGTCTCTCGTTTTGTTTAGGTGTCTCTGAAGTTCCTGTTTTTGTCTCTCGTTTTGTTTAGGTGTCTCTGAAGTTCCTGTTTTTGTCTCTCGTTTTGTTTAGGTGTCTCTGAAGTTCCTGTTTTTGTCTCTCGTTTTGTTTAGGTGTCTCTGAAGTTCCTGTTTTTGTCTCTCGTTTTGTTTAGGTGTCTCTGAAGTTCCTGTTTTTGTCTCTCGTTTTGTTTAGGTGTCTCTGAAGTTCCTGTTTTTGTCTCTCGTTTTGTTTAAGTGTCTCTGAAGTTCCTGTTTTTGTCTCTCGTTTTGTTTAGGTGTCTCTGAAGTTCCTGTTTTTGTCTCTCGTTTTGTTTAGGTGTCTCTATAGTTCCTGTTTTTGTCTCTCGCTTTGTTTAAGTGTCTCTATAGTTCCTGTTTTTGTCTCTCGCTTTGTTTAGGTGTCTCTGAAGTTCCTGTTTCTGTCTCTCGTTTTGTTTAAGTGTCTCTGAAGTTCCTGTTTTTGTCTCTCGTTTTGTTTAGGTGTCTCTGAAGTTCCTGTTTTTGTCTCTCGTTTTGTTTAGGTGTCTCTGAAGTTCCTGTTTTTGTCTCTCGTTTTGTTTAGGTGTCTCTGAAGTTCCTGTTTTTGTCTCTCGTTTTGTTTAGGTGTCTCTGAAGTTCCTGTTTTTGTCTCTCGTTTTGTTTAGGTGTCTCTGAAGTTCCTGTTTTTGTCTCTCGTTTTGTTTAGGTGTCTCTGAAGTTCCTGTTTTTGTCTCTCGTTTTGTTTAGGTGTCTCTGAAGTTCCTGTTTTTGTCTCTCGTTTTGTTTAGGTGTCTCTGAAGTTCCTGTTTTTGTCTCTCGTTTTGTTTAGGTGTCTCTGAAGTTCCTGTTTTTGTCTCTCGTTTTGTTTAGGTGTCTCTGAAGTTCCTGTTTTTGTCTCTCGTTTTGTTTAGGTGTCTCTGAAGTTCCTGTTTTTGTCTCTCGTTTTGTTTAGGTGTCTCTGAAGTTCCTGTTTTTGTCTCTCGTTTTGTTTAGGTGTCTCTGAAGTTCCTGTTTTTGTCTCTCGTTTTGTTTAGGTGTCTCTGAAGTTCCTGTTTTTGTCTCTCGTTTTGTTTAGGTGTCTCTGAAGTTCCTGTTTTTGTCTCTCGTTTTGTTTAGGTGTCTCTGAAGTTCCTGTTTTTGTCTCTCGTTTTGTTTAGGTGTCTCTGAAGTTCCTGTTTTTGTCTCTCGTTTTGTTTAGGTGTCTCTGAAGTTCCTGTTTTTGTCTCTCGTTTTGTTTAGGTGTCTCTGAAGTTCCTGTTTTTGTCTCTCGTTTTGTTTAGGTGTCTCTGAAGTTCCTGTTTTTGTCTCTCGTTTTGTTTAGGTGTCTCTGAAGTTCCTGTTTTTGTCTCTCGTTTTGTTTAGGTGTCTCTGAAGTTCCTGTTTTTGTCTCTCGTTTTGTTTAGGTGTCTCTGAAGTTCCTGTTTTTGTCTCTCGTTTTGTTTAGGTGTCTCTGAAGTTCCTGTTTTTGTCTCTCGTTTTGTTTAGGTGTCTCTGAAGTTCCTGTTTTTGTCTCTCGTTTTGTTTAGGTGTCTCTATAGTTCCTGTTTTTGTCTCTCGCTTTGTTTAAGTGTCTCTATAGTTCCTGTTTTTGTCTCTCGCTTTGTTTAGGTGTCTCTGAAGTTCCTGTTTCTGTCTCTTGTTTTGTTTAAGTGTCTCTTAAGTTCCTGTTTCTGTCTCTCGTTTTGTTTAGGTGTCTCTGAAGTTCCTGTTTTTGTCTCTCGTTTTGTTTAGGTGTCTCTGAAGTTCCTGTTTTTGTCTCTCGTTTTGTTTAGGTGTCTCTATAGTTCCTGTTTTTGTCTCTCGCTTTGTTTAAGTGTCTCTATAGTTCCTGTTTTTGTCTCTCGCTTTGTTTAGGTGTCTCTGAAGTTCCTGTTTCTGTCTCTTGTTTTGTTTAAGTGTCTCTTAAGTTCCTGTTTCTGTCTCTCGTTTTGTTTAGGTGTCTCTGAAGTTCCTGTTTCTGTCTCTCGTTTTGTTTAGGTGTCTCTGAAGTTCCTGTTTTTGTCTCTCGTTTTGTTTAGGTGTCTCTATAGTTCCTGTTTTTGTCTCTCGCTTTGTTTAAGTGTCTCTATAGTTCCTGTTTTTGTCTCTCGCTTTGTTTAGGTGTCTCTGAAGTTCCTGTTTCTGTCTCTTGTTTTGTTTAAGTGTCTCTTAAGTTCCTGTTTCTGTCTCTCGTTTTGTTTAGGTGTCTCTGAAGTTCCTGTTTTTGTCTCTCGTTTTGTTTAGGTGTCTCTGAAGTTCCTGTTTTTGTCTCTCGTTTTGTTTAGGTGTCTCTGAAGTTCCTGTTTTTGTCTCTCGTTTTGTTTAGGTGTCTCTGAAGTTCCTGTTTTTGTCTCTCGTTTTGTTTAGGTGTCTCTGAAGTTCCTGTTTTTGTCTCTCGTTTTGTTTAGGTGTCTCTGAAGTTCCTGTTTTTGTCTCTCGTTTTGTTTAGGTGTCTCTGAAGTTCCTGTTTTTGTCTCTCGTTTTGTTTAGGTGTCTCTGAAGTTCCTGTTTTTGTCTCTCGTTTTGTTTAGGTGTCTCTGAAGTTCCTGTTTTTGTCTCTCGTTTTGTTTAGGTGTCTCTGAAGTTCCTGTTTTTGTCTCTCGTTTTGTTTAGGTGTCTCTGAAGTTCCTGTTTTTGTCTCTCGTTTTGTTTAGGTGTCTCTGAAGTTCCTGTTTTTGTCTCTCGTTTTGTTTAGGTGTCTCTGAAGTTCCTGTTTTTGTCTCTCGTTTTGTTTAGGTGTCTCTGAAGTTCCTGTTTTTGTCTCTCGTTTTGTTTAGGTGTCTCTGAAGTTCCTGTTTTTGTCTCTCGTTTTGTTTAGGTGTCTCTGAAGTTCCTGTTTTTGTCTCTCGTTTTGTTTAGGTGTCTCTGAAGTTCCTGTTTTTGTCTCTCGTTTTGTTTAGGTGTCTCTGAAGTTCCTGTTTTTGTCTCTCGTTTTGTTTAAGTGTCTCTGAAGTTCCTGTTTTTGTCTCTCGTTTTGTTTAGGTGTCTCTGAAGTTCCTGTTTTTGTCACTCGTTTTGTTTAATTGTCTCTGAAATTCCTGTTTTTGTCTCTCGCTTTGTTTAGGAGTCTCTGAAATTCCTGTGTTTGTCTCTCGTTTTGTTTAGGTGTCTCTGAAGTTCCTGTGTTTGTCTCTCGTTTTGTTTAGGTGTCTCTGAAGTTCCTGTTTTTGTCTCTCGTTTTGTTTAGGTGTCTCTGAAGTTCCTGTTTTTGTCTCTCGTTTTGTTTAGGTGTCTCTGAAGTTCCTGTTTTTGTCTCTCGTTTTGTTTAGGTGTCTCTGAAGTTCCTGTTTTTGTCTCTCGTTTTGTTTAGGTGTCTCTGAAGTTCCTGTTTTTGTCTCTCGTTTTGTTTAGGTGTCTCTGAAGTTCCTGTTTTTGTCTCTCGTTTTGTTTAGGTGTCTCTGAAGTTCCTGTTTTTGTCTCTCGTTTTGTTTAGGTGTCTCTGAAGTTCCTGTTTTTGTCTCTCGTTTTGTTTAGGTGTCTCTGAAGTTCCTGTTTTTGTCTCTCGTTTTGTTTAGGTGTCTCTGAAGTTCCTGTTTTTGTCTCTCGTTTTGTTTAGGTGTCTCTGAAGTTCCTGTTTTTGTCTCTCGTTTTGTTTAGGTGTCTCTGAAGTTCCTGTTTTTGTCTCTCGTTTTGTTTAGGTGTCTCTGAAGTTCCTGTTTTTGTCTCTCGTTTTGTTTAGGTGTCTCTGAAGTTCCTGTTTTTGTCTCTCGTTTTGTTTAGGTGTCTCTGAAGTTCCTGTTTTTGTCTCTCGTTTTGTTTAGGTGTCTCTGAAGTTCCTGTTTTTGTCTCTCGTTTTGTTTAGGTGTCTCTGAAGTTCCTGTTTTTGTCTCTCGTTTTGTTTAGGTGTCTCTGAAGTTCCTGTTTTTGTCTCTCGTTTTGTTTAGGTGTCTCTATAGTTCCTGTTTTTGTCTCTCGCTTTGTTTAAGTGTCTCTATAGTTCCTGTTTTTGTCTCTCGCTTTGTTTAGGTGTCTCTGAAGTTCCTGTTTCTGTCTCTCGTTTTGTTTAGGTGTCTCTGAAGTTCCTGTTTTTGTCTCTCGTTTTGTTTAGGTGTCTCTGAAGTTCCTGTTTTTGTCTCTCGTTTTGTTTAGGTGTCTCTGAAGTTCCTGTGTTTGTCTCTCGTTTTGTTTAAGTGTCTCTATAGTTCCTGTTTCTGTCTCTCGTTTTGTTTAGGTGTCTCTGAAGTTACTGTGTTTGTCTCTCGCTTTGTTTAGGTGTTTCTGAAGTTCCTGTTTTTGTCTCTCGCTTTGTTAAGGTGTCTCTGAAATTCCTGTGTTTGTCTCTCGTTTTGTTTAAGTGTCTCTATAGTTCCTGTTTCTGTCTCTCGTTTTGTTTAGGTGTCTCTGAAGTTCCTGTGTTTGTCTCTCGCTTTGTTTAGGTGTCTCTGAAGTTCCTGTTTTTGTCTCTTGTTATGTTTAGGTGTCTCTGAAACTCCTGATTTTGTCTTTTGCTTTGTATAGTGTCTCTGAAGTTCCTGATTTTGTTTTGTCGAGTCGATCATAAGTTCAATTTTTGTTCTTGTGTGTTGAATCTAAGGTATATGTTATATTTGCGTCTATAAATTATTAAAATACGAATGATTTATTAATCTTAATTAGAAGAAGTGATTTGACTTTTTTATTTAAATATTACAGACAATTTGCAGACAAAATGACAGCAAAGAATTATATTCTAATGCTGTTACCAATCATGAACGGACTCCTCTATACACACGGTAAGTACCTATTTGTGTCACGTTTATCAGGACAATTATTTTCGAAACAGCCTATTAACACCTGTTAACACCTATTAACACATCTCTATTAGCAGCATTAGGGTCCTTTAATGTTGATAAAGAAATAAAAATGAAATGTTGATTAAATAACAATAAAAATAATGTTCGATCTTTGATAAAGTGGAAGATACTTTCAGTTTTCTCTATGTTCTGCCATCAGTCGAAATGGCCGACACGTCTATTTTAGTGAAACGCTAGTTTGACGTTTGTTAATGGCATAAGCATGACGTCATACACTTAATGCTATTGATTACACGTATCTTATACTGAGTGAATATAAGGTGTAGTACATAAGAATGTTTTCACCACAAAATTATACGGTTTCGCTTTGGTGCATTTCTGAACACGATATATAACTGATATTGTACACTCATACCATATACTATTCTAGTCCCACATCACTGGTAATATTCTACCTATTTTTTTTTTACCTTTATTTGTCAACAGTTAAAACTGCCTTAGAATATAATCATGTTTCTCATTTATAGTTTCATTACTAATCTGAGAGCAAACAAAAGGTCCAGATGGCCAAAATCGCTCTCCTTGATGTTTAAACAATTTGTCATCTATCCTAGTGGTTGTAACAATTGTAGGCAATTCTTAATTATGTGCTATCCAAAATACATTAATTTATCTTTTTGCCTCGAATTTGGCCTTTAGACATTGTGAATTTAAACTATCCGGCTTTGCTGTTAAGACCATAGCGGTATCACATTTTCTGGATGAAATAGTCAACCTTCTTTAGAATTGGACATTTTTGCATTTCTCCAAAGGACTTTAATAGTCAATAACATACTACACCAATATCTACACAAGTTTCCCATTCATATAAGAGTGACGAAATGAGTCTAGGGTGTATACATATACATACATTTAAATGGGCCTCTGGCTAGCGTAAAGTAAAAAACATGTGACGGATTCATCAATTCCGCATTGAAAGGAAAAGAAATCAGCTTTTTTCTATCAATAAAATGATCATAAATGATGACGGTTTTTTGAATTTATACGCTTTTATTCCGAGTGATCATTGACGTATGAATGTCTACAATGGTGGATGTCAATGTAGTGTCTCCATTGCGTCACGATTTTAGCTTTATAATAAAAGGAATTAAGGAAACCAATTCTTCAATGATACATATAAGAGTTCTCAACAGCGCTTGACTGACCTTTTACAATGTCATAAATGATTAACAAGGAAGGACGGTGTTATGAATAGGCTTCCAATTTCGAGTACACATGCCCTTAAAGGGATGATTGATGATGGCTTAGATATTATGAAGAAGATTCATTCTTTTCGATTTTTTCTTTTTACTGTGAATAATTTAATTTTTCATTATTTTTTGTTCGCGATCGTTTTTCTAACGAAATATTCGCAAGGGTTTTAATACACGAAAATATGACTGTCATCTTTATGTTCCTTTGTTTAATGTATCCAAATAAACATTGATGGATTGTTTAATTTGTCGTTGATTGTGAAATACCACGAATATATAAATCACGCAGTCAAGCGATGTGCTATAAAGCTACTTCCACGAGTCACGGCTGCAGTTTACAAAATAACAACAAGGTTAACAGATTCTGAGGATGCTGTGAATGAGGTTGTCGTGTTGTTATTGTTGCTGGACCAAACGTGTTTGTATTGCTTTACAAAGCCTTGCTATAAGATAATTGTTTCTTACATGTGCCAGCCTGGCTTTCATTGTTAATAAGCTGTCAAATAGGTTTCTAAGTAAGTATATCCTCTGTGCACTATCCTTGTTCGTTACCTGATAACAAAACCCTGTTCTTCAAGGAGTATCGTTAACCTGTTTCAGTCGGAATTATGCACTGCCTTCCTGCCAACAGCATGTCGGTAATTGGTATGATTCGTCCTAAATATCAATTACTCTGTATGTGTTGTAATGCGGGCAACTGTACAAGGTAGTTCATGGCTACCAAGCTTCATTGGTCATTCAGCCTGCGTAGAAAAAAGGCAGGGATGATAGCCTCACAAAAGTCGTTCAAAGCTATAAGTGTATTATGCGTGTTTGTGCTTCCTTTGCTTCAGGACTGATATAGGGGCTTAGGGCTCATCCTGTGTATGATTTGGAAATAACTTTTTACTATTGAATAACACCTAGGACTGTGGAATTGTTAGCTCCTTTGATAATAATTGTTCATATCAGCAAAGTTGATCTTTTTAATTGCATCTATATCATTGATAACTTTAACATTGTTGATATATACCATTAAATCTATTTTATTGATAATATTAACCCTATTGATATATACCATTAAATCTATTTTATTGATAATATTAACCCTATTGATATATACCATTAAATCTATTTTATTGATAATATTAACACTATTGATTTATACCATTAAATCTATTTTATTGATAATATTAACGCCATTGATCTATACCATTAAATCTATATTATTGATACTATTAACGCCATTGATCTATACCATTAAATCTTCCTTATTGATAACTTAAGCACTGTTAATCAATAACATTAATTCTTTATTATTGATATTTTTAACGCATTTGATCTATACCATTAAATCTACATCATTAATGACGCAAGCACTGCTAAACTTTACAACTAGATCTTCATTATTGATTACGTTAGCATTTTATCTATACCATTAAAACTGTATTAATTGATGACGTTAACACTCTATCTATACCATTAATCTTTGTTATTGAAAATATTAACACTATGGGTTTATTGGGTGGATGGTTTTACTACCGAATAGTTGGGTTATCCAGGTAGGAAAATGAAATTTTTACTTCTATCAGTAATCTAAATCGAATTTTATGAGCACAGTTGATTTATACAACTTAATCTAAATAACTTATCATATCAACGCATATATGCATATACAGTAGGAGGAATATTTTAGCGTTAACCTACGTACGTTGCTATTTTTAGCAGAAAGTATTGACCTCTTCTGATTCTCTTGGTGAACAAAAATCATCGCAATGTATCCAAACTGTATCAAAATATATATGGCAAATAAAAAAAAAAAAAGATTGTCAGAAGCTAAAATGTATTGAAATTATATTTGTTTGATAACTTAAACGCAAACATATTTAATTGGAACATTGTTCCGTATCGATAGTCACTAGTATTCTGTGATATATATTTTTAGCGTTACTACCTTGGAGTTCATCTCAAATATAGATCGATCGCGAGTAGACCTGCGTTTTTCTTACAAGAAATGAAGTATTTTATTGTTCCTTTCGCGAATTCAAATTCTCATGAATATGCTGTTTGAGGTGAATACACGGAATATTCCGAGAAAAGTCTTAATTTTTACAATACGATTCAACTAATGAATACCGTGAAATTTTCGCAATGAGGGCGATTTTATCATAAAAGCGAATTTAGGTAAACATAATAACATCTATAGTTTTTACAGTCAATGGCGAAATTAATGTTGGGCGATTTTACCTGTTAAAGGCGAACGTTTTACTGAGCGAATAGAGATTTGACCTGTTAAGGGTGAACGTTTGACTGGGCGAATAGAGCTTTTACCTGTTAAGGGTGAACGTTTGACTGGGCGATAGAGCTTTTACCTGTTAAGGGTGAACGTTTTACTGGGCGAATAGAGATTTGACATGTTGAGGGTAAACGTTTGACTGGGCGTATATATATATAACCTGTTAAGGGTGTACGTTTGACTGGGCAAATAGATGTTTTACCTGTTAAGGGTGAACGTTTGACTGGACAAATATATATTTTACTGTTAAGGACGAATGTTTGCCTGGGCGAATAGAGGTTTTACCTGTTAAGGGTGAACGTTTGACTGGGCAAATATATATTTGACCTGTTAAGGGTGAACGTTTGACTGGGCGAATAGATATTTTACCTGTTAAGGGTGAACGTTTGACTGGGCAAGTGGATATTTTTCCTGTTAATGATGATCGTTTGACTGGGCAAATAGATATTTTACCTGCTAAGGGTGAATGTTTGACTGGGCGAATAGAGGTTTTACCTGTTAAGGGTGAACGTTTGACTGGGCAAATAGATATGTTACCTGTTAAGGATGAACGTTTGACTGGGCGAATAGATATTTTACCTGTTAAAGGTGAACGTTTGACTGGGCGAAAGTTTCCCGGTATACATTATTTCGCTTCAACAGCGTGTTTCATTGTTAGCGATGCTGTAATAGAATGGTAAGTTATTGTTTGCTGTTGATAAGACAGCATTCGGTGACCTGTAAATCCTAACAAATGCGTATGTTGATAATGTTAAGACCAAACCCAAGAGTAAATGGATCATGTCTGCCTAAGAACGGCTGGGTTTACATTTCTTACCAATATTTTCACTACTTTGGCACAATACGGGACTATTCGCCATAGACACCAGATTATCGGAATGATTACCGATACTTATGTTCCGACCCAAAGATAAAGGTAGCCTCATCCCTATACTGTTGTGAATGTGATCTGTCTCTCCTGGATTCAGAAATATGGTCTGTGTGTGGCTTTATCTCTGTGTCTCTGACGTCACTCAGTATGGATGCCCTCGGCGATAGTGTCAATTTCGATTATGATGATTTACTGTTGAATATGAGATTTGAGATAACAATAAAGCGATTCTATCTTTAGGAAACAATATTATTGAAAAGTGCATAGTTTATATAGAAAACTACATTTTTGTCTAATGTTTATCTTTCACATGAACACTTGTAGGTGAATATGTGTACAGAAGAAAAGCAGGTCTCGACTATCTTTCCGTGACTTCAGTGGATTCGTTTCGTTTTGATATAGCTTAACTGCAGCATGAAATCATAGGCTATACACATTTACTACGAGATGAGAATCTTTTCAAATTCAATAAATACAATTTATCTTTCATACAAAAAGATCAAAGGATTCATTTGCCACATATTTTGTCTATGTCTTTTAAAGTTTTGGTGCTTTATTGAAAAAAAAAAAGGATTCAATTCTGGCAAAACTAAAAACGAGAGAATATCATATCATCTATATTTGATGATTAAACGTGCATGTCCTACCACTGATAGGTTTACACTGACTGCCATATCTCGTTCTATATATTCTGAAGCACGTGCCTCTTTGGAACGGCTGATATAGTCGACCGACACCGTCCCTAGATAAAACACAACGATAATATTATAAAAAAGCGGCATGCGTAGCATATGGTGATCTGTACGGGGAATATGAACTCGGAACACCTCGGCTCATGTAACCTTTGATGAAAGGTACTGTTATCTGGCGAGGTATTCCGAATGGGAGATCTTCTTTACCGTTGTTTTTGTTTTAATATTTTCTTTGATTCAACGCATATTTTCTTTATCAAAACTTGAGAGAGACATAACACAGGCAGCAAATTAATTAGGAGATCTTTTGTTTACATAGCCGGAAGTTAAAGAACAAAATCGGAATTGTGCAGGTGATCAGCTGCGTGTCCCAGAAAACAGATAACAAAATTTATCAAATACCAATTGGGCGGGTTGGTCGAGCGGTAATCACTCTTGTCTTTCACGCAGGCGGCCGGGGCTCGATCCCCGAAATCGTTGCACGCATGGATATTCAGAGAAAGTGTTTTTCTCCTGCCCAAACAACTCCAACAGCCCAGGTGGAGTATAAATTGGTCGTGGGTGGATGTTGTGGTATCAGTGCTATAGCATTCAAATGAGGTGGCAATATAAATGATGCCGTTGAAAGCAAGGTTCCACTACAAACAGAACACATTACATCTCCAGCACACACGCAGACATACACTCATAGGGAGATATTAGCCAGGCTGCATAGAACAAGTAGTGAACGCTTTAGAGTGGCTTATGTTAGCTAGATAGGGCGCTATATCAAATGCTGTATATTATTATTATTATATTATTATCAAACTTGTCGAATGGATACGAGAAACACCATATTGAAAAAAAACATGTTTGGATCCTAATTAGGATTCCTTTCCTCATGTTCAAATATTTAAATGTTTTCTTTCATAAATGTATTCGAAATTTTTCATCTATTTTATAGTAAATAACTTTTTATCAATAAATAAAAACCGTCAAAATATTTGGGTTTTCATATGCGTTTTAATAATCATGTGCGATTAAATGAATGATCAGTCCAAAAATATTAATGAAATCTAATAAATTCATTTCCATTGTTAATTTAATTTTAACATCACGGAAGGTTGTTGTTATGCACAGATCGATGGTTGATTATGATACATATTTGTCCTTTTCAATGAGATCATGTTCAATTATAACGTACGAGCTGTGTAATTATAAGCATGGTACTATAAATAGCTTAAGTGTTAGTATTGAAACAAATATAGTAATGTTGTAATAAATTGTAAAATTTGTACTTTCCTGTGATTGGTGTACATTGATGAAAATCGACAATAAATGTGTGCTGAATTGACTTTGGATTGAAAAAGAACTTTCAATCCCAGACCCGTTTTAAAATAATTTTATCTAGTATCTTTTGCGAGTGCAATGTTCTTGTTATCATAAGTCTGATATTAAGAAGAACATCTAAGCACATATTGATAGACTTTGATAAGAAGCAGGTGTACACCTCCACATACAAAAAGTGCCACCTTTCGTTGATAATCTGCAGTTGCAGGGGGTTTCTAACTGTGCGGGTATTCTGCAGTAAAAGTACATTATTATAAATGGCATTGCTTCTGCACATTACAGAAAATTGATTTGAAACAGAATTGCGATCACGCGATCGTGAACTCGAGTTCCAGACGGGGCAAATGCAAAAAAAAAAGGAAAAAATGTCGTCCTTCCTCAGTTGTGTTTCTATGTTTTTGCATCATATATGCAAGTGTATAGTGATATGAGGTTAAAAGGTAAGAACAACTCCCTGTAATAATTTGTCTAATGAACACACTAGTATATACCTGTACAAATGTGGTTTAAAGCCACAGGAATACATGATACGACATTGATCTGACCCATCGCTGCAATAACTGTATGTATACACAGCCTAAACCACATGTATATAGCTTTAATAACTTCCCATGCTCTTGTTACATGCTTAGTTAGACATATCATACTTCACACACTGCCAGTGTTAAGGATAACAAAGAGATGGGGTCTGTTTCAGAGCAACAGGTGGGTCTACTTACTTTTTGTACGGGTTCATTCCGAACTCTCAAATTACGCTTAAAATACAACTTTTACATCAATTCAAAATGTATTGTTTAAAAGTTTTTGCACAAACCATACAAGCCGAAAATAATTTCTTAACAACAAAACAAAAACAAAGAAACGTTCAAACAATTTTCTAAAGTATGTACAAAGATATTTTTAAAGTTTCTACTTTGACAGATAGGACGAATATTCAAAATTATCAATGTTTTAAGAGGTTGTTCAATTAAGTGAATACTCGCATTTAAAATTTTATTTTATGAATGCAATATATATTTTGTTTTCTTTAAATTGAAGCATACGTTTATTTTGCATATCTGACGTATGGGACCTTGATTTTGTACTGAATTTCACAATCTTCAACTTTCCTTTTCTTAATAGCAACATGCAAGTATTCCCTGTATATGCTGATTCGGTAATCGGGAACCGATTTTTATTTCTTTATTTTAAAGAAACATGGGTCTAGTTAATCAATAATCTATTCAGCTATTAGGAAGGCCTATTGCAGAGATTTCAATATACACTGAGTTCTGTTTTACTTTGGACATGTCAATGCCTTCTTTGATTTGAGATGGTTTGAGTCGCAACATTGTATAATTGTACAGAAAGCATGGAAAGGGGAGGGCATTATGCACTTCCTTTTGTTTTAGTTGGTTTTGGTGTTGTATTTATTGTTATGACTTTGATATCCGACTTTGGCATTTGATGCGACAGTATGCTCCCTAAACTTCTTTACTGAAAGATTCTTTAATATTTGCAGCCTCCAAAGATACATTGCAGCAAGTACAACGAGATTTCTGGAAGTGGCACATGCGAGATTCTCCGCAATTCATGACCGCAACCGGATTTAATAAATACAACGACTTGCTGGAGTCCATGAACATCAGCATGTTCGAACAACGCAAGGTACCGATATCAAGTTAAACTTAAAGAGGAACCAAAGTGATATCATATACATGAATAGCTCTGATATAAATGTTTGAAAATATAACTCTTTAGTATATATCTCCTTTATTTATAAATAACATGACTCTCTAAATTAAGGATTGTCTCCGTACGAATCGGGTTATAACTCTTTATTTTACTTTGTTTTTTTTCCATTTCATGCTTTATCTGTTGCTTACAACTGTTCTGTAGTCCAACTGTGTTTAAAATATGGCGACTTGATTTACTTGAGAAGCGCAAGGATAATAGTGGCAAGTTTTATTTGAGTTTACGGTGCAACCCCCCTTTTTTATAGGTCATATATTTCAGCTCTGATTTCATTCTTTTGTGATTACGCTGTGGTGCATGTCTTTTTAATTCATAGGACCCAATATTTGCCTTAAAAGTTAATATTTCTAAAACATTTTGTCAGATAACTAATCATGGGAATGAAAAAAAGTCTTGAAACTTTATCTAAGAAATATAAATGCTTTGCTTATTTCAATGCTTGATTATATATTTATCACATAATGTATTGTGGTATCCAGCGAAATTTTTCTTTTTGTAATATCTCATGTAATATGACCTATCAGCCCTGTAATTGTTTGTAAGTTGCAATTGTTACCCTCGTTTTCATTTCATATGACATTTTTATGAAACTCGTCACCATTTTTTCAGTTCAGCTCGCCAGTGGCTCGCTCAATTGAAAAATTCTTAGACTCGTTTCATAAATCTCATATGAAATGAAACTATATCAAAGTCGGTCTAAATATGACTTGCATAACGATTTCATAAAAACAACTTCTGGTCTGTGAGCCCTGTCTGGAAAAAGGAAAAAAGTAGTGCGATTTTTATATGGGTCAGAGAGTACACAAATATATATAACTATAGTCTGATATCATTCTTCTGGCAAAGGTCCAATTCGTTTGACGAGGGATCCAAACCTGGTTCTTTTGATAATATACGGGTTAACATAAGCATTTTCATTTCCCTCTTATCTAATCTTTGTGTAACAAGGATTTATACATTATCCGTTATAGATCTTCCTCATATTAAGAGAAAACATTAAATATCTCACCCATTTCAATTCACAGTTTATGCCACAGAGATCGTGATAATGGGCACTGTTTTATTGCCCTATATACCTGATAGAATTATTCGATGAATGATATATTTGTACCTGTGACATGGTGAGTGGCAGTAGACACTTGTATTTAATAGGAACATTATCCTTCGTGCAGATTTATTTATATATAATATAATTAAATTGTACTGTAAGGAGAACAAAATAACTCATTGTGACAGGGCTTGTATCGTGAACACTTCTGTTAGCAAATATCTAAAAAAAATAATTTTGTGAACATACAGAGACTTGAGATACACTTCAACTCATATCAGTACCCATTGGAAGTGAAATTAAAAGAAATCTAGCTATACCTGTAGTTTCATGTTATTTATGGGAGAATTGTCCAATTTATCTTACCTTCAAAAATCTTTAATCATTCAGAATTACCCGAGCGTTGGCAATATTTTGAGTTTCCTCGTTCCTTTCAAATGTATCTTCTATTCGTGTATATCTGTTAGACGCGTCATCTAAACCTGTGAATAATCAATACGTTTGTACCTTTCATTCGTGTCATAAATTATTATGTACCTTTCGAATATGTCATCAATTCGTGTGTGTCTTTCAAATGTGTCATCGATTCTTGTGTACCTTTCAAATGTATCATCAATAATTTTACACCTTTAAATGTCTTCGGAATCTTATTCAGCTGTCAAATGTGTCATCAATTCTTGTGTGCATTTCAAATGGGTCATCAATTCTTGTGTGCATTTCAAATAGGTCATCAATTCTTGTGCACCTTTCAAAGGTATCATCAACTCTTTTTTCCTCCCCCAATGTTTTGCCCATCTTTTGAACCATACAAATACATAATCAGTTCTTATGTTTTCGGCTATGTCAGGGAGGTTGGACGATACATTAAAACAAAAATGGAATAAGATCACTATTAAGGATAGGGTGGCGTCGTGTTATAATAAGCTGGTGACCTAATACTTCATATAGACACGGGAGAAAATATCAATTATTATCTAATAACCGGTACTATATAAAAAGCACAATGGAACATTGGAGCTCAGATATGTAATTATGACGACTGTACCATCTTTTGGGGCTTGTTGAACCTTATGATATGTTTTCGGAAATAATTAGCTATTATGGAAAACTTTCAAATCCGCTGTCGGAGAAGCATTTATGGTAAAAAAAAAAGACAGTCCCTGGTGATTGTTTCATTTTTCTATTGCAGACGGCAGTAGATGAATTCCTTACCCGCCTTGCAAGTCTGCCAGTAAAAGAACTGACGTATCGTCAGCGAGTAGACTATGATATTTTACAAGATTACCTCCAAACCTTTGTGGATGGATACAGATGGAGGGAGTAAGTATACACAAGATACAAGAAATGTCATATTACCAAATGGATTCAGTTGTAGAAAGACTAACGAATCAATCTAACATTTGTATCACTGACATTTCCTTATCTTGAAACTAATTATTAAGCATATGTTTATTAAGCATATGTTTTTTGTGGATCCAAATGATTTACCGACAATCAAAAAAGTTAATGAGTTAAGTTGTGTTTTATCGCCAACGAATAAGAGTTCCATTTCGTTCGCCATTTCTCTTTCATTGTGTTGCTTTCCTATTTACCATAGCAAATAGTGTTAGACAAAAAATGTATTTATTATGACTGTCTTTTTCATGCAAATATCTCCATCACCACCTCGTGGATTCGATCCCATTATCATTAATATAAAACATTGAGCTTATCTCATTATGTCATTTATGATATTTTTTCATTGATACTTTCTGCATCATTATCTGGGTAATTTGTTCTTACACCATTAACGAGGCCAGAAAATATGATAGTGTTTTTATGAGTGTTGAGGAAATAAATTTTGAATTTTTAAATTTGGCTTAATGTTTGATTAAGCTAATGACTTTCCGATAAACTCTTTTGTTAGGTCAATAGTGAGCTGAAACGAGTTTCTCAAAAACGCAATACACAACACATCTTATTTCAACTATAGTTTCTTCTATATTACTAAGAATACGGCTCTTTGTCGTATTGGTTAGATACAGGAGGATGTGTATGGTCCATTTCAGATATGTTGGTCTAAAATTAAATTACATCATTGATGACCCAGATAATGTATCCTAATATCTGACAAGTGTTTATTTATTCTGATCGATCTAGACAAGATAAGAAACATCTTTTTATGTAATCTTTTTTCAAGTTTTATCTGAGGAATTTAACTAAATTTGGCAGGAATGGACAAGAGCAGAAGTACCTCTTGGCTGTTTGTATACTGTTTGAGTCATTTTGCTCATCATTTCCGTTGATGATTGATAATGAGGCTCAGCATATCGTTTCCATGACTAGGGGCAAGGTTTCACAATGATAATCACAACTACGTTGAAAGTATCCCCCTCCCCCACAATCCACCCACCCACGATGAGTTAACAGTGCCATAATACATGGTGATACCAATATTTGTTTTATCAAAATTGGAAAAATATCTAAAATTCAACCAATCAGAAGCCTTACCACGGCTGCCATCTGGTTAAAACTGGGGAAAACCGCAGTCATAGTATATTCTGTACTACCATGATATGGAATTATTTGAACGAAATGTATAATATCAAAATGTAGACCACTCAGAGCTCCATCGTTCATGTTTGAGGAACTATAATGGCAGTTACTTTCCGAAAGGTTTTAATTATCGACCAATCAGAGGCCAGTTCCCGGCTGCCATTTTTATTTAGATGTATAATAGTTCACAAGCAAATACTGGTTCCTACGGGATTCAGCTCGGTCAATTATGTACGAAATGACAGACAAAGCGTACGTGAGACATTACAACTGTGAGGTATATATATATATATATATATATATGGGTTGGTTTAAGCCTTATCAGTAAAACATAAGCTTGGTTTTCCTCCTGAAATCTTACGAGAGCTCCAATCTTGTCAGACGTCGATCGGTTTTCTTACGTGGGATTCTGTCTCGAACGACCCAGAAACAAGTGGTATGTCTATACACACCGACACTTACTGTCGGTATTGAGTGTATGTTACCCTCACTCTGACACCCAAGCTTGGTACGATTCTCTATCGGGATTAAAATCCATTGACACCTGTTTAGATGAGTATGATAGGTATCATGTAAATTTGTCTTGATTGTGTGAACAAAATCCTTGATAATATATCAAGAAGGAAGGAAATTGGTGAATTATGCCAGGTAATGGTACGGCAGAACAAACAGACACAGTTCCTTTGTGTGATGTATGCCAAGTTGAGCGTGCACATTGTTAAACTTAATCAGAAAATTACGGACCATTTTTGCAGTAAGATAATTTAACTCGACGTGAAAGTGATGATTGTACGAAGCAGGAAATGTGATAATGAACGTTCACATCTTGTCAATATATAATATTACAACTCTCTACCACTGTAACACTTAATAAAACTTTCCCCGTTGTTGATAAAACTTGGAACGAAACACAGGAAGCTGATTATAGCAATTCAGACGTGATCTGTCTTATCACCTCATAACAAATTCAGGAAATGAAACATGTTGTATTCTTTGGGGGTCTTAATTGCTGTGAAATGACGCCGTTGTTATCCCGACACTAGCCGGGATACTTTAAACCCTAACAAGTTTAATATATATCTGTAAGTCATTGTTAAGTGTTATGCAGCAGTTAATCAAAATGTATCATCTTTGCATTGTATCAAACGATACTAAACCAGCTAACTTACACTTGAGCTCTCAACGGCGCATTGAATCTATTTGTGCAATCATAAATTAGTGTATGTATAATTACCTTAAGGAAATGTACTTGTATAGTACGAGCTATACATAATTAGCGTGTCAATGATAGATACCGCGAAAAAAATGTAGTCAAAAAAGTTTTTTGTTTTTAAATATATTTCGACATCTTAAATCAGACCCACCACGTTTTAGGTTACCCGTGTTTTAATAATTATTCACAAGCAATAGTAAACTCAAACATTGTTTGTTTTGATATCAACTAATTTATGTGCAAAGTTTCTGGTATAACGAACTACTATGGAGCAACATGTGAGCCCATTCTATTACCATGATGTCAGTTTTTTCAGGAGGAAGAATTTACTGTCCTCATTAAGTGCGTGCTTTTAATGACAGTTCGACACTCGAATACTCTTAACTTTATATTCATTCAGGTAGCACACTAACAAATGTGGTATTAATGTGTTTGGTGTTAGACTAATCTCCCTTAACAACTTTAAATTGGTATTACATTTTCGTGTTGATTTCCAAAATATATTCAATGCATTTTTTTTAAGTTTTAAAAGAATCGTTGATTAATTAACCAAAGTAGCATTCATCTTTGATAATTTTCAATTCCAGTGTTACCGTTCTCTGTTTTAACACACAAGATCGGTGGAACGGGGGGATACTGTAGGAAATATGCTTCTTCGTTTAAGGGTTTTTCGTTTCGATATAGTTACATACCCGACACATTCATGAATGACAATTTGTTGACTAATCATCAAAACATTTGTAACGTACACAAACCGACTTTTTTTTTATTGTCTTAGTGAATTTACAATTATTCACTTAATTCCATGTTTTAAGAGGGGATATTTACAGCACGAATCGTAGGCGTTGTAGATACTGTTTACTTTCAACGTTTGTATGAACCAATATAAAATAAAATTATCAAATAATTTTCTACCGATCACGTCATATCTGTTTGTTGTTACTTTAACATTATAAACGTCATGACGTAATTACATGCTAGACATAAAGACTTTAAAAGATACACAGCACTGTTTAATCAACTTGATTCTAGATGTTTTTGCTGTATACATCAAAGCTTCTTTCCCGTCAAAGGACAAATAAGCTCCGACGGTGAACCAGGGCTGTACGGGGTCTAACACGGGCTGTTTATGTGGTTACAAAGAGGGAGGTACATTTAGTACAAAACATGTATGTCACCAAGGGTGAATATCCAAATTGAATATGAAACCACTTGTTCCCTTTGAGAAAATAAAGAAAAAATCTCTGAAACAGGAAATGTTTGAAATGTGATGATCCTGTTGTCATTTTCATTGCAGAATATATTTAAGTTTGGCAAACAGACCTGTTTTAGACACGTGCTACATTAGCGAGGGCGTATCGCACTAGCCTTATCTGGGCTCAAAATGTCAAACTCTAATACTATCAGATTAAAAAAAACAAAAACATTTATAATTCTCTCTCACACTCATCTAAGTTTACATTACTCACAATATGTTTTCAGTTTTCTCGCTCTGAATCCAATCAACTTTATCGAGGGCATCCAGAGCAACCCGCAGGCTATGGTGGACATCACGCCGTTCATATCACACGGAGATTTCATCAATTATCTTGCCAGGCTAAAGGATTTGCCTAAAATGGTAGGGATCGACATAGAATTGACAATCTACCTGTGCTTTTAAAGTTTAACCTGACATCTTAGACTAAAAAACGTTCTTAAAATGGTAGGGATTAACAAAGCATAGTCATATACTTGTTACTTTCTAGTATGATTCAGACAACACACACTAATAACAAATAATAATAATAATATACAACATTTATATAGCGCCCTATATAATTTGTAAAATTTCTCTAAAGCGATTTACAACATATGGATAATAATATTAGTTATAGTTGTGAAACAAAACAAAGACTTACAATTACTTTTATACATGACTTGCCTAAAAAGGCTGGGATTGACAAACCATAGCATGCAGCTTGTTTATTTCCAAGTTTGATTCTAACAACACAATCAACAGGAGGAGGTTTTGCCATACCTTGTAGGGATCGACAATTATATTTGTTGCCTAGGTTCTCTTATGATGAGACAAAATCTATAAATGAAGTTTAAAAACTTAATATGTCAATTTCATTTCATCCCGATATACTGGTTTTTGCAGAATTATATTTTTTTATGTAATATTCTATTTTGGTTGATATGGTATATTTTAATTGTATGAGTATTCATTTTGCGATTAAAACAAATTACAGTTTTAATAAACCCATTATAACGCAGGACCAGTTTAATTACAGCAGGTATACGTGCTTGATGTTTTCAAAAATGTAACGAATGAAATAAGCACAAGAAATCTTTGTTGATTATTTTTCAGGTCGATGAAATTATCGACAGATTAAAAAAAGCAATCGAGGTACAACATACACATCATTTGTCAGCCATCGTAAGTACTTCAACACCTCATCTTCGTGTCCTTCATATACTGTAATTCATATTTTGTGGATCTCCAAGTCTTTTTACACAGGTACATTTCAAAACAAAAATGATGATACATTAATGTTATCACGATTAAGATGGTAAAGTGAAAATCACGAAAATATTCATTATTTAACTATCAACAGTATCATAAACTTCGTTTATATAATGTCTTTTTTGCGCAGAATAGCAATTTGTTTTTCTAATACAATTATATATATATTGTCGTCGCTGTATCACAATAATCCATTTCACATCGACTATCATTTCATCAAATAACCCTTTCACCACTGTAGACCATAATGGACTCATCCATATCAATGCATGGAAGAGTTTACTTCAGTTACATAGGGTTGAAAGGGTTAGAATCTTGGACAGAATCGTCATATCTTACCTTGATATAATACCAGAAGGCACAGAACTACATTGATTAATATGTATTTAATGTTTCCGACCTTTCAGAAAGCAGTTCCAGGACAAATTGATGCATTTTTGAAATCCGAGCCTTCAGATTTGATATTATTTAAACCCTTTAATACTACGCTGGATAACATAATGCATATTTCAGAGGAAACCAAGTAAGTGCGCATTAGAGTTTGATTTTGATTTTTTTCTTATCGACATATAATAATTTATGTTATTCAATAACTTATTTACCTGATATACAGATTAGTATAAAATTCCATGGGATAATCCATATTCTCAATGTGGAAAAAGATGCATTTCTCATAAACACACAACGACAGGTCGATGTAGTAGAAATATAAGTGAGATGACACGTAAACAATAGGAAAGGCAACATGAATCTAAGAAAAAACGGTTAACTGTCATACGTGCGGCACCTACTAGCATACAGAAAAGTACGAAGGTCATCGACGATCTAAATGAAAAAAGTCTTTGATTATGATAAGCATTGAAAACTCCCAGGTGAAATTCAGGTCTAGAAGACGAACGTAAACTCCTTTTAGTGCAGACTGGAATTTCTCACATAGAAAACACAAACTTAGATACTGCATTATTCAAAACGACACTACTCGGAACAGGCTCCATGAACAATGAACCAATGGTGACATGTAAACTATACAAGAGGGTAAAGAAAAGTTTCTATCGAGGACATAATTTCTAATATAAAGTCTTGTTACCCTAGGTAGGCAAGCTAACCTGTATATGTATATACATGTACTATGCTCTCATACACGTCATAATATCAACATACATCCACTTTTGGTTGTTTGTCAATTTATTGACAAATTGACAAACATACGAAAAGTTTCGTCATATATTAAAGACAATTGAAACAAACAAAAAACAAATCTTTAAACATAGTTACATTATATTGTTTTTCTTCAAATATTCACATATTTCGTGCGACGTAAATCGATTAAAATGTTCAAATAAAAAAAAAAAGTATAACGGTAGTTTTAATATATTTTATATATACATAAGAATACGGTTATTATAAACAGCGTTACAATTGTATATAAAAGTTTTCAGTGATCTTCAATATCGACTTTGATCGTATATTTCTTGTCATCGAATATACAGTCAATCTTTTTTTAATTTTTGTTCACATGATATAGTCCTACTATTTTTTTCATTTTAAGCTAAATTTTGTTTGTTTGTGTTGATACAGATCACACTGGAGATCCCTCGCCCGAAACTACTGCTCAGACGTCATAGATGCATTCGTAAAGTTAAAGAATTTTGTTGTTGAAGTAAGTAAACTAATTTTTCTGAAATCATCTCACATTATCAATGTATGGGCGAGTAATGTAGGGCTGCTACGGACCTGTTCTTGTCTGCTAAAGGAATATAAAAGTCACTCAAAGTACCCAAGTTACCAACTGCTACAGTCCTGCATGCTAAACAGAGATGTGTGCATTTCTTTATCTCTACTCTTCATATATATCACTTCAGAGGGATGACTTCATGAAAATAACCCTTAAAATGACGACGACATTTTAACAATCAAGCATTAACGTTACACAATGCACTTAGCAGACACGAAGCAAAAGAGAAATATTATATGAAGACCCCTCTGATATGTTGGTCAACTTAATGAAATACTCCAATGTGTATTGAGGCCAAGTGTATCGTGTTTTATTACCTATATGACGTATCACGTCTATTTTTATATATTCAGTAGTTGGTCGTTCTATAATATCAGAGATTAGAATATACCGAAATTTGTTATTAGGGTAATAAAAAGATAACGTATTTATGATGCGATTACAAAATTCAAAATGGATTATGAGAACAGAGAATACAGTATATACCCAATCTAGATATAGAAATATGACAGCACCACGTTTACATGCTAGCTGCTCAGTTCGTGCTATCTTGCTAGGACAGTACCACACATAGTAGTCTTGATTGCAGTGTTATGTATATTTCACTGTATGTAAACATCTGTCCAGGCGTATCATGAAAAAACACAAGTGCTGGTTGTGAATTGTTTACGTAGCAGCGCGTAATCTCAACATAACGAGGGAACGACCGGCCATTATTTTATGATTTACATTGATATAGAAAACTCGTATTGAATGGGTACAAACCATCGGTTTGTGTTCGGATAAGCTTTCTGAATAATGTTATGTGTGTTATAAGAACATTCACTTGAGAATTAATAATTTTTAATGAATCTACCCCAATTTTGCAAACGATAATGGATATTCCAATTTAATATAAACTCATCATTACTTTTATAACAAACTAATTACTTTTATCTCTGCCACAAAAACACTTATTTACGATAGATTGATCATCATTCGAAACTTAAAGCAGAATAAAAGAACATTTTTTTTTATTATTTTAAATAAAAAATATGCATGATGGTTTCAAAATTGTTCACATAAAATCTTATAAAGAAGCCTTGAAATGGCACAATGTTCATCGACAAAGAGCACGAGCTATTTAAAAGTAAAGAAATGAAGGTATTGTATTACTTGTAACGGAATGAATAATGATGCTTCTTTAAGAATCAAATATTCTATTTATACATAGGTAGACATTGCATTCTGAATATTTTTCCTCACAGAAATATATGGAAAACACGAGAAAACACATCGGTGTAGGTTCTTGGAGAGAAGGGAAGGAATTCTACAGAGCATGTCTAAAGTTCCATCTGTCTGTAGATATGACTCCTGAGGAGGTTTTTAAACTAGGACAGGACGAGGTGGCCAGAATATTAAAACGTATGAAAAAGGTAATGTTCATCAGGTAGATATATTCATTCTTATACATAACTGTTTAGTGATTAAAAGGCACACGTAGTTTTCAGTAAACAATTTTCTAATACTTGAATTTTAAATACGAAAGTTTGAATTCATTATGTGCCACGTTGGTTATGACAGCACTATTAATGAGAAACACGTGACGTATAGTTTGTCAACGTAAATAACGAGATCGTCATTATTGTGTACCACGTCAACTACCCCAGTACATGTATTCTTTATGAAGTTTTGATGATGCTCCCTAGTGTGCTATATGGTTACTGTCCCGTTTCTCACTTCAAGGATATGACATTACTTTGATTTGATCTAGCTTCATGTGGTTGGTGTAGTCGATGAGCAGATTGCGCTCATTCTACCGGAACACATGGTCTTATTACCCATGGACTCTTAAAAGTCTCCATAAAAAGCATATCTCTGTTCCTATTTCCCCCCAAAGCTCATTGATTTTGAGGTCCAAATGTTGTTTATGTGAGGTTTTCTTGTCGCCTTATTCATGAATGGTATCACATGATACAGCTATAATTCTGTAAAATGAGACCATCAAATGGATTTCTGATATCAAAAAGCGTACCAACAGCTGATGTGACATAATGTGTAACAAGGACAAATACCTTGAAATGAGTTAAAACGAATTTTAGATTTTCAATGTATACTGTACCATAATGGTTTTTGTGTATCATACATGTATATGTCATTGGTTTATTGTTAACCACTTTAGTTATGACGTCATCTTAACTGTGTACCACATGGGTAACGTCATAAATTGGTACGTTTGTAATGACATTGCCACCTTTATGTACCAAATAGGTTATGAAGAAGCTTGAATACGAAGGCAGCGTACGAGAATTCTTTGACATGCTGAAATTAGACGAAGGTTTGCAACGTGCAAATGCAGTAAGTAGCATAACAGTACGCAAACACTATAGTAAAACCTCTTTATACTGGCTCTCTTTGTCCAGCGACGTTTTTTGGCGTTATAAAGGGGTTTGGCGATATATAAATGATAATAATATACCTAAAAAGAAAAACAACTGATGACGGAACTACTTTTTACACTTCAGAATGCAAAATTACAGCACAGCTTTCTTGTAGCGCAATTGTTTAGTTTACGTAAAAATTAAATAAATCTTTAACTGTGAATTTACAACGTGCTTGTCTATTATTTTTAAATTAAATTATAAAGAATGCCCAAGAATTTGTTTTGGTATATACGGTATATAACGAAAATAAGTTGTGCCCTTTTTTGCATAAACCGCTTAGCGGATTTATGCAAAGTGCACAATTTTTTTTCGGTATATACCGTATATACCAAAACAAAATCTTGGTCATTCCTTAATTATATATTACGCACAGTACAAGTACGACAGGTAAAGTTCATATATAATCCTTCGGATCAACAGACACTAGTGTAAAAGATACCTTGTGTTTATTAATTGTATAAATGTCATAGGAACATAAGTGACAAAGGGAGACAATTTTATTATCCAAACCTTGTCCGGGCCTCGAACTAAAGACCTACGGCATCTAATCGCCGAGCCTGGAAATATCTGCAACTACACAAACCCATCTCCTTAAAAAAGAAGTCTTTGATGTTGCTATGGTCAACAGCCCTATAATCTCAATACGTTCATGGTAACAAATGTTCTATTGACAAGTATATATACCAATTGTCATCAAGGTACTGATATCATTAACGGGCCCGGACTGGGGACGAGTCATACTACTGACTTCCTTTGTCACTTGTGTTTCTATGTTATTTATTTATATACTATTTGTTTCCTTTTGTGTTTACAGGATGAGGTGTTGATGGAATACCGCTCTATTTATAAATACAGAATAAAACCAGCTTTATCAAAATATTTTGAAAACTTACCTGATAAACCTTTAAGGTAAGCAACAAAATAGTGTTTACCAATGTATAAGGGATGTTTCTCTGCACGGCCTACAGAGTTTTATTGCTTGGAGTGTTTAGCTCGCCTGGCTTGAAGGAGATAAATCCTTCTCCCTCCACATGCAAATCGGTAATTCAACCTAATTTGATCTAAAACGTTCTTGAGCTACGAAAAGTCAGATTTGTATATATTGAGGGTGTGACAACTTTGGAAGCAGAGGGACGACCGGGTCCTATACATTTATGTCATAACTTGGAAACACTTAAGATCCCTACCCTATTGTTACCAAAATTATCCTATGGTCCGTTCCCATTGCAAGGACAGGAAAAGGCACATAGACTAGTGCTTTTGCGATATGTGCTGGGTTTTTCCTTACCCCTTCGTAATTACTCTCTGGATCATAACACGAAAACAGTACAGATATCCACCCTATAACCATATAAACAATTGCTAGGCATCAAGAAATCAATTCCATGCTACCATGTTTGCTCGCGGGCCCGGCATCACCTCTGGGTACTTACTCTTTGTGTCATAACTTGGAAAGTGAAGCGATTCCCATTCTATAACCATATATACAATGGCAAAGCAAGAATAGACAACTACACTCAATCCAACCTGTTTGGCTCATTGGTCAAGGTCAACCCCGGGGGCTTTCTCGCTAGGTCATAACAAGTCAACGGTTGAAATCACCATCCTATTAACATATATACAACTCCCACCTCACTTAGGGTACTTTATGCCTGGGTTATACAGTAAAAACAGTTGAAAATCCACCCTACGTGTAAACATCTATACACATGTTAGGCATGAAGAAACGAACGCTGGAACTTGACCTGGGGTCTGGCCTGGTCCCTTGTTATTTACGTCTTTTGTCATAACATGTTAACCGTTCATATCCCCATCACCATATTCCTGGCCAAACACCAAAGATTCAGTCCTTGTTACCTTATAATCTTTTGAAAAACGTGTACAATATTAAACAGATTGTCAATTAAAATTAAAACTCAAGGTGAGCTGAAAAGGTCCCGGGGTGTCTTATTTAAATAAGCGTGATCTTCGCATTCGCTTGTACCTTACAGAGGTCAAAAATACCTTTTTACGAAACATATCTATATTTCTCTAAATCCGATGTAACTGTAGTACTCTTTGGTGAAGAAAATAAGGGTGTACTTTCAAATTCGATTTAAAAACAGAAAACATCAAAACGGTTAAATTCAGTGATTTGGAAGCAAACCATTAAATTATAACGATATGAGTTTTACTTTTAATTGATTATATTTAATGCATTAATTTACCCTCAAGGAGTTGAAAAAATCAGTGAAGCCATCATTATCATATTTAAATCATGACTTAAAAAGTCGTTTGATTCACCTGCAAACACATTTGTCTGCTTATTAAAAAAAAGGTTAAAGAGAAACTTCTTTGTATCAACTGTGCCTCCGTTAAACTAATATTGTTTAATTTTCGTCGACTGAATCATCAAGCTGTATACCTAATTAAAATATGAATAGTTCATCAACATTAACTGTATTTAATCTTAATGTGATCGAGCGGAAACCAAGCCTATAAATAATTGTCTTATATATCTATCATCAGGATAGTATCGCTGCCATCTGATGGCCCACAGGGCCTGTATATGACGGGGTCGAAGGACGGCGAGAGGCCCGGGACATTTTACGTCAACACAAATAGACCGCAGTCACAGTATGTATTTTGATATCGTGGAACGAACGGGGTTGCCTCCCTTTTCAATTCCTAATAAGATGAAGTAAGCTCCACAGAGTTGCCTCCCTGTATTCGCCACACGACAGTGTTATTTCTCTTTCAATGTTAATTTGCACCGGACAAAGCAACATGTCGGCGGGATGAAAGAAAATATGACAATTTCTTCGAGTAATTATATTCACTAAAAAAGACGATTACAAGAGATAAGTCAAATTAATTGTCTTATCAAATATAATTGTTCAAACAGTTGCTGGTTTCAATTGTTTCTCCATTGTGGCGCTGACCCTAGTTGGAAATCACAGACACATGATAATTTGTTACAGCTATATTTGAACCTTAACTGAAGAGTTCAGTATAATTTTACATGTTTTCGGGGGTTGTGTCAATTTTCGATTAAAAAAAGCCACCCCAATGATAGTTTAACTGAGTGTATATTTGGGGTGGTATTACTTCATCATTAGTCAAATCAGTGAGCTGAATAACCCTGGTGCAATGGTCAGAACAAGCCGCGATGTCTTTGTTACAGTTCAAATAGCGTTGATTTGTTTCTGGGTTCAGTTATATTTAAATCTTTGTGATAAAGTGGATTAGTCACAGCACAGTTGTCTGTCTATCTGGATAATTACAAACTTCAGTTGTGATCTTTCCCACCGAGTTCATAGAGGATACTTCTGCACTTTTAAGAAAACTGGGGTGAATGTGACACAAATGTTATTAAATAGATTTATTAAAATGTTTAGAATGCGTCAGTTAACTTTAATTATACTATTTATAATCAACTAAATTGTTTGGCTATATACTATCGTGGTATGTACAGTGTAACATTGAATTAAGCAAAAACAAAAAGGATTACGTCACAAATATGCGGTATATTTACTTTGCATATTCAAAAGGTGTAATTAATTCACTTTGTTGAATGTTTTGATAAAAACAGTATCAAATCGTTTCCATTCTACCTGATTAGTAAGAACGATGGAGGTAGCTGAAATCGTTAAACCGAGTGTTTGTCTCTCTAGTGTTGACGTTGAACATTAAATCGTCCATTTGTTATCCACAGTCCCACCTTTACATTTATGGCGCTGACGCTACACGAGGCGGAACCTGGTCATCACTTCCAGGTACGGAACCATTATTTAAACAAAATAGCCATTTCGGTACCTTGGTTGGTTGGTGCAATACATTTGTTCACAAGGGGAAAACTTTCCATTCCGGCTATTTGTTACTTTTTTTGTTTCTTGTTCTCCTATTTTTTAATTCCGGATTTAACTGTATTTTAATTCAATCGGGAACTGTCGGCACTTTCCGTTGTCGTTTACGGAAAGTGCCGATGGCTCACGATTTAGTTCAGATTGCAAATTAAAATGGCAAACGAGGCAAAATCAGTTCGCCGATGGCTCCCGATGCAAAGTGTATGGCAAACAAAATAGTTTCGCTATTGCCATGAAGGATTTCACAACAAAACAGTAGATAACTGTACATATCTATATATTGTTATCAAAGATAAAAGAAACGTTTAGTCCACGACGGTCAGCCTATCAACAGAGTTTTTTTTATATCGCTTTAGGACATCCTACATGTACTAGGTACAAGTCAGCTCGTCAGCTATTTGTCAATGCTGTAACATATCGCTATAAGATTGATTTATTTATTTTTAAAATTCTACCAATGGGGCATGATTCATTCATAAGCCATGAGAAAAATAAATCTTGGTTATTTCTTACATTTTCAGTTGAAAGACGAATAATCACGTTCTGGATGCAAATTTAGTTGTTTTATACTCATTTTTTCGATAAAGCAATGGTATTCATTAATTACAACAGCATATGACGTCATCGGTTTTGTTGTAGTTAATGAGGTTATAACATGAAAACAACCATGGACTGTGGAAGACTTATAAACAAAATGATATTACAACATCTATTTACCACTTTATTCTCTTCATCTATTAAATATTCATAAATTAAAATGGTTAAAATAGATTAATTCAGCCATACATTTATTCATTCGAAGCACTCTTCTTTACAGCTGAGTTATGCGGCGCAGTCGAAACTTCCGGAATACAGACGTCATCTCGAGATTACAAAATATTTCCAGGTGCCATTCAACTTTCCCTTCTACACTGCCTACGTCGAGGTAGGTGATTGAAAAAAAAATATGTTTGTTTCCAAGAGAGAATTATTCCTCCTACCTTTGTAAAATTATTACCCGTTTTACCTGCTCATGGTTCTTCTGTCAATCCCTACATATTTATTTCTCTGTCAACCCCTAAGTTATGACAGATAAGACTTGAAAATAAATATTGCTTTGACGTCACAGGTACCCTCATATGTGACGGGAGAGAGGTGATGAAAAAAGAAAAAATCAAGTTTATTAATGTAAAAAAATATTGCATGATGGGGGAAATAATCATCCTCTACCCGGAGGGTGAAACAGAGAACCATTAAATGATTGGGGTAATTACCTAGAACCGAGGGTTAGACTATCAAATGATCATCCCGAGGGTTGGAGATATTTTGTTACGTTAATAAGGTATAGGAAATATTGTATTAATTATAATTTCTAACTTGTGTAAGAGTTCTGTGTTTTTCTGTGACTTGATAAAAGAGATGCTTCCTCCAAAATTTGTCAATGTTATATTGTCGACACTGTTGGAAATTCAACAATAGCGACAGTGCAGGCAAAGGAATTTATATTTACCTCCGGCCCACTGATAATCGATGTTAACACATTTACCTCCGGCCCACTGATAGCCGATGACTAATTACTGTTGAAGAAATCAGCTTGAAATCGTGATATTGTGAATCCAGGTAATAAATAGAACACTTTCCTGAAGTATGGACTGTAGAAACATTCATATATCACAACCAGCATAGTGTTTATGTGTGACGTTTTCATGACTAGAACGACATGAACTTGGTCACTTTCATCAGACAAATCATTTGTCTGATTGTCAGATTCAACAGGTTTGTCTGATGACGGTGATAGAGTACACACCTTACAAGTCATCGAACTGTAACACATACACACACAGCTGTTTGTGATATATAAACTTTTCTACAAGGTACATCATTTGGATGCGCACTAGATAACATTCAATTTCGTTTTATTCCCATAGTTATTAATCTTTCTTGTTCTTGTAATTATAAGTCAAGTGCAAAGTCAAAAAAGAAACTTTCTATGAGAGATACATAGAGTATGCTTTTTAATGAAAGTTCGACTTTTATATTGAGGGATTCAAGATGGTCGCGATGCTTCTGATTGGTTAAGATATTGAAATCAACTCAATGGTCGAGTGGGGGTATTAGTATGCTATGGCTTAAGGTTATAGCTTACTGCTTTCGTAGAGATTTTCATTTTTCCTTCTGCGCTGTATTATGATATTGTTTGCATATTCATATATTTACATTTCTAATGAACTTGGACTCAATATACCTACTAAACTTTTTAAAGGTTATTTTTCAATGAACTTTTCAGTTGGCTTATGAATACATCAGCATATTATCAACCTGATACTCTGTTATTCCGCGGAGCGCGGGAAGTAGTTTTATTAATAGATTGTTGTTTTTTTGGTCAGAAGTTTTTAATGGAATTTAAGAAAGCTAATTTACATCCTAATTTATTTTGTTGTTGTAATCAATACAAACAATTTATTCATCTAACCAGGACGACGTCTTACAGTGGGTGATGACATAAGCTTCGGTACCTTCCGTGGTGTTAGACTTGCACAAACCCGATATTTTAGAAATTATCCAAAAAAATATCAATATCGCACTGAATGTAAAATATAAGGATCAAATCCTGTTTTGTTGAGGTTTATTGGGTATAAACCTAAATGGGTCTTGAGACAAATTCAAAATTCAAAATTAACTACTTTGCAATTCATAAAATTTGTCTCAAGACCCATTGAGGTTTATACTCCCATAAACCTCAACAAAACAGGATTCAATCCTTAACTAAACAAAATGAATGTTGCTGTTTTGTGAAATAACTATTTCTAAGTCTGTTTCTGTTTGATAGGGATGGGGACTATACGCTGAATACCTTGGCGAGGAGTTAGGCTTGTATCAAGACGACTATGAAATGTGCGTATATAACATATAATAAAAAAAAACAATACATAATGCAACCAAGTTCTCTCTCTATTCTGTGTTGTATTGGTGTGTTTTTTTATGAAAACAGAGTTATTACAGTAACACAAATGTCTCACAATAATAATTCCAGATTGTGACATCTCGATTTTCGCCCCGAAAAAAATACCAAACTAAATGTTCAAAAACAAATTTCTTCTCTACTCCTTTGTACAATCGCCATATTAAATCCTTTTCGAAGAAAGAGAGTCGAAGAAATGCACGCAGAGAGTCGAGATAGCATAATCAGTAAGTAGCCAGACTGAGCTGACGTAGGATCTATATTATATTTAATAATCTTTAAAAAGTGAATAACATGCATTTATTTTCAAAACAATTATAATTATTTCACCTCAGCATAATGAAGTTTGTTGGTTGAAAAAAATATATGAGTTGAGGTAAAAAAAATGTTGTGTGCTACGCAATGCCTTGTATACGACGCATATTGTTGTGTTATGCGCAAATAAATGGTGTGTGTTAGGTAAGAGAATGTTAGATGTAACGTAAACTTACATATTGTAAACGTCACAAAAGATATACATAAAATGTATGGTGTATACGTCACAGAATGTTGTGTATTACGTAACAGTATAAGGCGTATGCATAAGATACTGCTTTGTGTGTAGAAAGAAAATTTGGTAAAGAAGTTGATTCAGAGAGTGTGAATTAGGTAACATTTTTAAGGTGGATCTTTTTCGACATGTGCAGTATGCAGCAATCATGTTTTTGCGTTATATCACACAGGATGGGGCGCTACAGTTTCGAGATATTCCGGGCGTGTCGACTGGTCATTGATACTGGAATCCACTACTTCAAGTAAGAATGCGGGATACTTCTAAACAGCATGACGTCATCAATATATCATGTCATAATTAATAAAGATAAACTTTCACCAATTCATGATACATTATGATAATACTTCGCCCATTTTTTATTCGATAAGAATACATATGGACACATTTGCGATTCCAGCAATATAACAATACTCCACAAATATGTGATAATTTGCTCATTTGTGAATCAATAACTAATTGGTGGATACATTTGTGATTCCTGCACTAAATTATTATTCCATCATTGTGAAATTTAATGAAATACACGTTCACAATATAACGTAAATCGTAAATCGTGTGCAATGATACATAAAGTATTCGTAACAAATGTATATATAGAAATATGTTGTGAGCAATTTATATACAAAAAAAGTATACCATTACGTGTTCAAATATCACTACATTCTTTAATATGGTTGAATGACATTTTTCTTAGTTGGTCTAGAGACCAGGCTATCGGCTATATGATGAACCACACCGCCATGCCCCTTAAGACAGTGGAAAAGGAAATAGACCGATACACCATGATGCCAGGCCAGGCATGCGCATACAAAGTCGGCGAAATCAAGATCAGACAAATCCGTGAAAGGGCGAAACGATTATTAGGTAAATAAATACACGTGGTACAAAATATTATTTCTGTATTGTCAAAGTGTGCCTGCCAAATACGTAATCATTTTAGGGGTTCTCTTTAAGATCAATTGGTAAGGCGCTGGACTTATGACGTGTGTGTCAAACAAAAAAGTATAACCTTAATTTTTCAACATTGTAATCTAGATTTTTATTTTCAAAAAGATTTCATTTTTTTTTTTTTTTTTAACCATATTTGAAATTAAGCTTATATAACTAAAAAATGGAACATTTATTTATTGTTTTAAATAGTTATGTGAGATACAATTCAGCTGAATTGAACATATCTGACGTTATCTGATATACTGTTTTAGGTGACGCGTTTGATGTACGCAAGTTCCATACAGTGGTCCTGGAGAACGGTCCGATGCCGCTGAGAGTACTCGAGAGCGTTGTAGACAACTGGGTAAAACTAACTAAAGAAACCGCACAGAGCGTGATGTCTCACACAGAGTGTGGCAGTCCAATTAACTCCGCTGTCTTATCTAAACATAGTACATTTATGTTTATTATTGTTTGTATTTTGTTTCTTTGTCATTAAATATGTTATTCACCTAAACCACGGAGTTAGATATTTTTTATTTCATCAGTCTAAAAAACCTAAAATACACGAAGTCTGCAAAAACGTTAATCGTCATTGTCTTGAATACATTCCAGTTATGGAAGAATAAAAAAATAAATATATTGGCAGGTCCCCGGATATGTGGTTTAAAAAAGATATTGGCGGAGTTCTTGTCAAAGGAGTACCCAAAGATCATTTTAACTCCCGTTTTTCAGCTATGAATGTTTCTTAACTTCAAAATGAACCATTGTGACGTCATCGTGGTGTTGCATTCATTCAGTCAACTGGACACAACAATGTCTCATTTCAAGACTGACCATTGTGGTTCTGATGTTGTATAGATGATTATTGTTCATCAGTTTTAGTGACGGAATCCTGTGTTATATACAACACTTATTGTCCTGGCGCCGATCTACATGTACTCTTCACTTTATCTACAAGCCTGTCACTGCAGCATTAATTGGCAAAATATACCAGGGGCATATAATATTTACGGTACAAACTCTTTGTAATCGTTTATTTGTCTTTAGCTCACTAAGTATCCAACGGGCACATTTTCCCGACCCGCTAATGCCACAGTACAGGGGAGGTAACTCCTCATTGCAGTAATGAAATTATTTACACAATACGTATGCATGTGAGATATCGCTTTTAGGGGATATTGCTACTCGATATCGATAAACAAATTTACTTATACGAGGGGCTGATGACGTCGTATAAACTATTAACTGCGCCGCCCGACCTCCAAGATCAATGTCGACGGATATGTGTAAGCTGTCGCGTGTAAATCAATCTTTCAAAGACGCAGCTCAATTTTGACCTACTACAGCTCATTGGCCCTTTGTTGTCAATTCAGATTACTCCGGAGAACATTTGGAAAGAATCCAAATGACTTTTAGTTCAAAACGAAGCGAGCGATGTTTGTGAAGTTGCAAAAACGCTACTTTCATTTTTATTCTCTTTATTTCCTCAGAATCGAAGATTCACAAACAGAACAATACATAAATGCATTCATTGAAAATTGACAAAGTAACGTACATGTTATATGACAATATACAAGCTGAAAATCAAAAGGTAAATTGTATTGTAAAGTAAGGGTTACGCTGGAGTTAACTCCCCTTTGCGTCTCTACGCTCCTTAACTTATCTTAAGTTACTGAAGAGAGATGACCATCATCTGAAATGCAGAAAAGGGAAGAATGTTATAATTGACTCATTATAAAGTTTAGGTTAAGACAGCATTTGTAGTAAAGTTTGCACATTCTGGATAAGACATCTAACTCCGATGAATTCAACTGGTATTCTACATTTCCTCCAATGAGGATATGAAACATATTAAAATCAGACATGGAATGTAAATACACACTAAACATTATGTCTTTTATATTTATAATATCACACCATAAACTATCTCTTAACTCTCCTGTATAATCGCATTGTAGAACTATATGGGTGGCTATATCACTGTACATAAAGCCACATTTATGACATAATGGTTCACCCACACACTCTCTGATAGTTACAATTAATTTCATGACATGTTGTATAGCTTCTCTTATGGATGGAAATTTAAATTCCAGTCTCCATAATACATGTGGTACTAAATGACTGTGGATAAGAGAAAATCTAGAATAATCGCCATCATTGGCCATTCTTTCTCGCCACACTAATTCCTCTACTGAGTACACGGCATTCTTTACTTTAACACAACAAACATACATTTAGACAGAAAAGCACAGCTAGTTATAAAATCATTAAACACTTCAAACAAATCATACTTTTGCAGTATTCTTAGTATATCAACTGCGAACCCTTGTCTATTTGAACTTAATTCATATTCTATATCAACGAGAAAATATTTTGTAAAAGATACACGAGACGACAAATATGTGTTATCTAATTTACATAACCTACAATTTCTTAGTGTCTATATAGGATTCTATACTAGTCCATCCATGTAGACTTGTACACATATTGCGAATACACTATAACCCACCGATTCAAATGGTTCAAAAAACGATAAGTTATATTCCCTAATCCAATGCTCAGATATACCACAAATGTCAATGTCAAATCATTCTAGACAGTGTATTTGGTACGGAGTTCCCGCCATCAGCCCCTCAATGTTCTAATACATGAAATTAAGCTAAGTCATGTCTGTACTCATCAAGGGAAGAACCCATGGCCTCATACTTATGCCATCGGGCCAGAAGTGACTGCCAGTAACTATGTCAGCATCTTCCGATAGAATGTTTAACTGTGCCGAGGCTGTACTCTTCCACCGACGTACAAAGTGCATCAGAAACGTAACACGCGCACCAGCTTCTTTCAAGAAGTCGCACATGGCTGATTCGGAGGCTATATTCTTGTTGATGCCATGAATCGACTAAAATCGACTAATTCTACGTATTGCTTGTGTCGTATAACCAACAAATTTCTCTGATAAACTGGAGTTTTAGTTCAGTGTTTTGGTGTTGGATTACAATCTGTATAGGACACATGTATCTGCTCCTTTATCCTATAGACATTCTATACGACAGTGTCCTTTCCATCGTCTTTGTGTACTATTCCGTATCCACCTGTCTTTCCCCGAAGTTCCATACGGAAAGTATCGAACCGATTCCTGCATTGGACTGTTGGTTCTATAACTTCAATTTCAACTGGATAGGCGTCTATGGTTCGAGTACTATTTGACATTTGAGCACTCGTTGTTTTACATAATCCTTTAGTATCATTCCTCGCGTCTTTGGTAATATTCTTCTCTTTTGTTGATTTCCAATTTTCGGTTAATTCCTGTCGTAGGTTTGCAATAGATGATTGACACTGGTTGACATCCTCAGTAAGTTTGTCGATTAAGGCTGACTATACCATTAGACTGTTCGTCATCAAATTTGGACGCAATTTGTTCACAATCTCTTATCTTCTCCCGTGTTTGAGACACATAGTCTCTCAAATTAATCAGCTTTTTTTTCTAGCGAGTTCATACTTTTCTTTAAGTCGTTTTTTATGTTTGAAACGCTTATGTTCATGTTACACGTAGTTTTTGCCAATGCGTCACACTCTTCTTTCAGATTGTTTAGTTCTATGGTAAGCTCGTCGTTTTTCTGTGTCAGTTTGCAATTACTTTCATGTAATGTAGTTTTTGTTGTACGTAGTTCGTCAATTTCCTTTTCTGACTTGACCACTGTACTCCTCACTGTTTTCAGTTCCGTTTGGTACATTTTTTGCTTTATTTTTTACGTATTCTTTCTCTTTGAGGATATTTTCATATTTTTTTTTTTAAATTTACATATTTCCTTTTTATTGTAAGTTTTTAATTCATTCAAGTCTCTTTTGATTACAACTACTGCTTCCTTCAACACCTCGATGCCCGATACTTCCGGTTCCGGTTTGGATTTTTCACTCTCTGTGCGTTTGTTTTTTCCCGGTACCTCTTCAATTAAATCTTCTGAGTACTCACCCTCGCACGCACGGAATAAAATGAAACAGTCCCTTGCTAATTTCTGTTGCAAGGTCGTGGCGCCCGGAATGGCAATACAAAAAGGGAGTCCGGATATTCACCTCGAGGTCGTTTCTTTGATCTTACAATTACAATTGTATAACTGATTCTTATAATAAAAAACGCTGTTTATTTAAATATAGTCGGACTATCAATGACTGACAGTGTTATAAAAACTAAATAAAATGTGTTGTAGACATATTCGTCATTACATTGATTTGAATCATATCAGTAACTTGTCGCAGATAATATTGTTTATTTTTTATTTTATTTTTTATCTTGATTTGGTATACATGAGCAAACACTTTAAACAATTCTCATGTAATATAAAGCTTAGGATAAGAGTATTTTGATATCGTACTCCTTATCACTTCTCCATCCCAATTTCAGCCCTCGGGGCCTTCGGTCCATCAGGTTATATGTACATCAGCTCACCACTAACTGTAGATATATAAGTGTTGACACATGGAATTCAAATGAGCGCCCTTTTGATTGCAGATTAGTATTTAAAAACAATTTTTTGAGTTATCAGTGATAACATATTAAGATAATTGCCCCGCCCCCTCTAACGCGCGTATTATACCAGTGTTTCTGTAGATTACCACGTGGTCTATTTCATAAAAACAACAGATGTTTCACCAAGTGTGTCTTTATGACACCAGCTGTAAAATTGCATACCCAGTAAGAAAGCTGTATGGCCCTGGTGCTTATCAAAGGGATAGAGGTATAAAGATAATTAAGTGTAGCGATCTGGTGATTCTAATCTTAGCCACAGGGACCTGATATTTTGTTATAGCTATATTTGAACCTAAACTTAGGTGTTCAGTGTAATTGAACATGTTTTAGGGGTTTAGATCGACTTCCGGTAATGAGGTTGACGTCAGCCTCGTGCCGAAATATATGCAGTGTTGGTTGGTTCGCCGAAAAAATGGCTGCGCTTTAAGCCAATCACACTACGAGTCTCGGCACGCGCTGAACTCAACCTCATTAATATTAAAAAAAGTGATACGATGACTGTGAAAAGCTCTTACATGGCGTGTATTTGAGAGGAAAAGGGGATAATGACCGCGGAAGGAGATTACATTTCGCGTGCATATAGGAGCTTTTTAAAAGAAAAAGATATCCATCTTTCCTACGGTACTAAGCATTTTCCCGTAGATTAACTAGAAATGTTGTTTTTGATGCAAGGAAGTAAGGTGGGGTCGACTTTTCGATATCGCAAGATTTCCCCCCTTTTCCGTATAGATACTGAACCAAAAAAAGAAACGCACAATTAAATGATGCAATCAATAGCCTATGATGATTTTGGAAATTTGTACAAAATTTTATATCAATATGAAGGGACAAGTCTTTACAATACTGTAGACGAAAAGTCTGTGTGACGTCACTCGTGTCATCAGTAGTTACTCAAAGTGGGATACCCGCGAAAAACAAACTGACACTTCAGTACCAGGGCCCGGGATCATGAAACGGACTTGAGTCCAAAGTTTTTT